AAGGTTCAGGGAACAGGCGTGTCACGGTATATATATGGAACGAGTGTTTCTACGCAATAAGATTTCTACACTTCATACTAGTTATTCTTATTATATTCAGACAGAGATGCATCGGTTTGTGTGTATGGGTGTTGGTGCATGTGTGTGTTTGTGCGCAGCCCTCTGTTGTTGCAGACAAAGTGTGTGTCTGTCAGTCGAGCTATGACTGAATGCATGTTGGTGCCCAGAGCCACAGAAACCCAGTGATGAATGAGCCTCCCATTTTCCAGCTCCTGCAAGGCCAACCAGAACGAAAGCAAAATGGATGGGTGACATTAAGTCAACACCAGGCCAACACTGCTCCATTGCACCATTTCTCTTTGAAACTGAATTCAGTGGCAAAGACTAATAAAGAATGTAATTATTACTGCTGAAAATTTTACTGACCTTCACCCGCCATCCTTCCCAAAGGCAACACACTGATTGAAATGTTCATTTCAGAAATGAGGGGGAAGGAACAAAAAAGGGTTTTTATACAGTTTAATGGAGTCGCGAGCTTCTATTGCACCACGACAGAGCAGAGCACAGCTTTCAGATTCTAATAATGGATCTGATGAAAAGTCAGTCATCCTGAGACATTCTCCAATGACAGGACAGGGAAGACATTTATTAAGACTTAACGGAGCAGAAAGTTCTGTGAACATCATTTCCACTAAAGGCTTCAAAAGCACCTGATGAATGCTAATCACTCACTCTCGATCTACACAAGCCCATCACTTCATTAGTGTCTAAAATGCTACTCATTACTCACTGGTGTTTCTATGCATCCTCTGACACAACAACAACAAACCGATTGAAATTTCCACACATCACATCATGAGGTTATTGTTTCAGAGCTGATGGGTGCTGTGTGAATTACAATATCCTATTAATGAAATGAAACACAGCTACGTCCCCAGAGCCCTCACTAGGCTCTACCTTCCCTCCTCTCCCGTGCTTATTAATAGTAATCCCATGTCAACATCACTACCTTCTACCCGTGCCCTTCCCTCCCCGCGCCTCCGATAAAACAACATAGCACGAGTAAACAAGCGGGGAGGGAGCAATGAAGGAAAGTCTAATTAAATATGGATTAGTATAAAGGCTGTGATGTTGGGTATGAGTCAAAGCAAACCCTCAGGCTCTGCCTCACACATTCAGCTCCCGCTCCTTTCCTTCTGTTCAGCCCATGTCGGATAATGATCTCTCCCACCGATTCAGATGGCCCTTTCATGCCACACAATGCCATGAAAGGGCCTCCCTGACCAGCCAGAGATAATGCCTGATGCTTCTAAAATGTGCTTAAGCACGGATGGCGAGACATTATGCAGACAGAGGAGCGACTGTTCTAAAGATAGACAAAGGAAAATACTTCACATGGCCTCTCTGACCAGACAGTCAGTGCTAAAAGGGGCTTGAACAAACATGAAAAAAAAGGCTAAAGAGTAGCAAATAAGAAAAAAAAGACTGCCCTGAGGATGACTTGTGTATAGCAGACAGTGTGCTTTGAGTTCCGCACACAATTAAGAATGCACCAGAGACAGGTAATCATACTTTAATTAAGGCGTTTCACAAGTCCAAGCATCTCAGCTTCTGAAAATGACAGTGAGCAAGTTTTATTTTGGCCTCCGGCTATTTAGTAGTTTAACTGCAGTAATTACAATGATTGGACCATGTTGGTAATTGCAATCACAGTCTTTAAATATAACAGAGGGCTGGCGTGCCATGAGAGCAAGTTTTAAGGTTGGCTCCTCCAACTTCGCATGACATTTATCAGAGGGAGAGAACTGGAACAGTAACATTCATGCCCTGGCCAAATCGCTAACCCTGCTCACTGCATCTGAGCATCTAATCATCCTCGAGTCCGAGCTGCTGGATAAATCCTCTCTCTTCCACCATGACTGATTAGAGCCGGGTGCTCTCCAGTATAAAATGGCTGCAGCCCATCACCCAAGGCGGGGCCTTCCACGCCGGCTGTGGACGAGGACATTCAGTCGCACATCTTCAAAGACTTCTGAGATCCTGAGGCACCGGGATTAAACGCTAATCTACGAAGATATTTCTCGCCATCAAATCCAGTAGCGACAGCGGTGAGTAATTGCTATATGATCCATTCAAGATCAGCGCGGCAGAGTCTTATTAATCATAATTATGGGAGCAATTAGGCATTTGCAATTAAAATCTGAGAAGTGTCCATTTGATTTGACCCTCCCACCATATTCTCTGCAGTCTTTTTTGACACTCCCTCTGTGTTAATGTGATTGGCCTTTCAGCTTCACTAACTCTTTTTAACAAGATGTAGCACTGGTGTGGCAGGATGGCGTGTATGTGTGTGTGTGGGGAGGGGAGGAGAGATGGGAACGGGAAAGAGAAAGACAGCTGAGGTGTATTAAAGTTGTCAGAATGTGGCCAGTGATCGTGGTCAATATTTGAACAATGAGAGGGGGTTTGTTTGACCGAGGTGAACAACGGGAGGGAAGTAAAGCGAAGGCCGCAGGAGGTCCTCATGAATATGGGTGAGTGTGTGAGTATGTTTATGTATGAATACTTCAGCCTCATTTCAATCTGACAAGACTATCAGTTCAAGAGTAGTTATGTGTGCATATTAAGCTGCCAAGGACTGCTGACGACGAGGAAGTGTTCACTGTGTGTGGTCGCAGGTGTTTCTGCATCTGAGAGAACAGGATAAAAAAAAAAAGAAATTAGAAAAAAAAGGAAAAGAAAGGGGAAGGAGGAGGAGAGAGGAAAAGATGGAGGTAGATGAGAAAGAGAGGGAGAGTAGGTCAAGAGAAGTATTGTGCTTATGGAAGCGTGGCAAACATGGAGATAAAGGACACAGACGCAGGATAAGGCCTTGGGGCATGAGGCAGGATTAATTGCCCCTGGCACACAAGGCCACTCAATAAATTGCCCCGGGCGGTCGACCCAGAGGAGGGCTGCGACACGGCGACGAAGGTGTTACAGTGGAGAGAGGCTGGTGGGAGGTGAGGTTAATTAAACTCTTCAGTGTGAAACACTCTCATTCATTACCTTCATTACCTTGTTCATTTAATCTGCTCCGCTGTTGGCATTTTATCACATCCAGCCCCATTGTAGCGTCATACAGCTGATTAGGTTTCATGTTGAACCCTCAGCTGCATGAGGGGGTAACTGAGAGCGAGAGCGGCAGGTCAGTTTAGGTCCAACAGACCCAACCACACACAGCAAACAGCACAAAATAAATTGAGTTCACGCTGGACATGCATTTTACTTGATTTTCCACCCTGGAATCAGTGGATTAGTCTTAAAAGTGGAAAATGAAAACGATTTTCACCCTCAGTCTCCAGCGAACTGTGCTGAGGACAATATACAGCCCTGCATAAAAGCGCTGAGGAGCGCTGCTCAAACGGGCATAAGTGCCGAACTGACGGAGCGAACCAAATTCAGGGACTCATCTTTATAACAACAAAAACAAGCCAAAACTTCTCAGCAGCGTTTTTTCCTGTCTGGATCTTTTGCTTAAAATAGACACAGCCTTCACTTTTGGTACCTGGCACCAGAAGAAGAATTTGCTGTTTGAGGGCATGGTGAAAGCAAGCAAGCAAGCAGGCGGGCGAAGGTGGAACAAAATGGATTGCATCACGACAAAACATCCCATTTTCAACTCCATTAGGTCTCCCTCACAGTCTTGACAGTGTTGTGCTTTTTGCCACTTCACATGATTAATCACGTGTGGAGGCTGCAGCAGAAACACAGGAGCCTGAACTGCAGGCAGCTGAGGTTCCACGCTGGAGATGACTGAACAATCACAAGATACAGTACGCTGACAAGTGGAGGAGAGACACACAAAGAGAGCGAGTCAGATGCTGGAATAAAGTCAGACTGCAAAGACAATGTTTTAACAAAGCATTTGTTGTGTTTGTGGAGAGATAATAGTGAATTTTGAACACTAAAAGGAGTTTTATAAAGGGGTACTCCACTGACTGTACACATCACCGTCTGCTTACAGCTCTTAGGGAGAACTACTGCATGTGAGAAACGTTGTATAAAGCCTTCTGTGAGTAACCTGCCTCAAGTGATGTCAGTGTCAGTTGGGTTTGCAGACGACGTCTTGAGTTTGAAAATTAATCAAATCTGGGGGTGTGGAGTTAGAGAGACATGAGCTTAACAAACCTCTGCAGCAGGCTCCTCTCTACTTGACAAACACTCAAGGCTACATTAGCAACTGTTGGCGGTGGAGTTGCATTGTGGGTGATGTAAGTTTTGAGAAGGAAGAGGAATGAATGGAATATATAAAAAATTTCTCTGGTTCTGCTGCATCGATTTAGATCCATTTTTATGGGTCCAATAATTACAGGAGTGCAACACTAAATCGATGGAGTACTGTTTTAATTCATGCCTCACACTCTGAGATGACACTAAGTGCCAAGAGAAGGGAGGTGAAGGGAGTGAGTCCTCCATGCTTGCCATGTTTGTGGAGGTCAGCCTCAGGTCTGATATGGAGTACTGCTCACTGTTGATGCCTTTAGCATTCTTGGACAGTCTGTAACCCCATGTGTCCTTCCAAACTTCCCCAATCATGTCTAAAGTAAAAAGTGATGACTGCACAGTACTGTGGACAGCCTGCCCGCCTGGCTGCCCCTCACCCTCCTCTGCTATTCTCACTATTCTGTCCTGTCCTTTTCCCTGCCTTGCCCCCTCCCACCCTCCTCTCTGAAAGTGAGCCAGTGTGCAAAATGACCTTCAACCACACCCACAGGGAACACACAAAAAAAAGAAAACAGGAGAATAGTAGCAGGATGGAGGAGAGAATAGGGTAAACAAGAGGAGAGGGTGACAGAAAGGCAGCAGAAAGAAGAGGGGGGAAGAAGAGCAACAAAAAAAAAAAGACAAACCCACGCAGAAGTGAGGAAAATGGAAAATCTCTCTTCTCTTGGAAGCCAGCAGAGCGCAGAGCTGAATCTGACAAGAAAGATGACTCTCCATCCCCTTTCTCACCAGTCTGATTAAACCTCTCACTCTAAAATGAACCCGGCACGCTGAGAGCCACAGAAACGAGGGAGTGGAGGACTTGAGCCTTTGCTAAAGGTGCACACTGGAAGATACAGATACACTTGAAGGAGCAGGACCTTGAAGACAAGGTGACGCTAGGAAATTCCTTATAAACCGCGCCAGTGGCGGACAAAGGGACCAAAATTAAATTCCTGAATGAGGAAAGCAGCCAGCATTCTTCTAAAACTGTTTCCAAAAAGAATTTTCGGCTAGATCCGTCTCAGAAATTCCCAATCCTTCTGTTTAAGTATGCAGTAAGCCGGCCGTAATGAGTTAATCTACAACAGAGGGATGATTTCCTTGTGTGACTAAGACAGTAAGTAGACAGAAGGAGGACTAATTAAAGTTGTAACATCTGCCTTCTGAGCTCTAAATGTGTCTACAGGCTACAAGCATCTTTCGCTCCACTTCCTCGCTCTTATTTCAAGCGAGGAAGGGTAAATAAGGAATCAGCCTGCTCCCAAACAATGCAACTAAATCTTCTGCAAGTGGCATCATCATGATTACCATAACCAATGAGTATACTGTATGCAACTTGGCTGCTCTCAAGCACTATTCACAGCATCTTCCAGCTCAACTTCCACAGCTTGATGGTGGAGGAGGAGAGCAGGAGAGGAGGAGAAACGGAGGAGGGTGGGAGGTCTGGACTGGAGCACGTAACATGCTTACAAATTAACACCACAACCAAACTCGGACAGCGTTGAGTGAGTGTCTCTCCCTCGTCCTGCCCTCCGGGTTGCAGCGCTCTGCCTGCCTCCTCTCTCAGCATGAGCCATCTTCTCGGTTGGATCAGTCTGCGGTCTCCACTTTAACGATTCCGCGTCGCCGCTGATGCCGCCGCCGCTCCACTTCTGACCGACTTCCCCAGCTGGAGCCCGACCGAGCAGCAGCAGCAGCAGCGGCAGCAGCGGCAGTCCCTCTGCACGGCTCTCTGCCCCCGCTGCTGTGTCAAAAGATAAACCCGACACCAGCAGAAAACCGACACTGCGGGAGGTGACAGATTCAGATTCAGATCCAGAACCAGATCGAGCTCTCTGCAACAAAAACCGCGGAGCCCCATCGGAGAATATCGGCCACGCCAGATCTGCACGGAGGGGGAAATCTTGATAAGTGTGAGCCGGGGTTTCGTTTCTTTTTTTTTTTTTTTTGTTCCTACAAACTCGGATGTGCTTGATGTGGCATTGGCGGTGACTTTCCTCTCTTCCAGCCCTCGAGATGAGCCTTCTCCCGGAACCTGACTGTGTACAAACAGCCGGACTGTGGGAATAGGACTTTATCACCGAGCCCGGCTCATCAACGACAATAAAAGAGACTTTATTGGTCACCGACGGAGCTTCTACTTGGTGGAAGAAAAAAACAACAAAAAAACGCATATTACTTGCTATAAATCAAGCCAGGAGGATCGAGCCCAAGTGCAAGACGAATGGTTTGGGTAACTAAAGCTTCACTTTACTACCACCCATGCACGGATAAACCCACAATAGGCTACCTGCTGTTAATAGGGCAGTTATGAAACAGGTGTTGCAGAGAAGCGGTTTAATAGAGATTGTTAAATTGCCAGAGGACGCAAGACATCGTACAAAAGCACTGCATGCTGGGGCAGAAAATTATAACCACACATTTTAGAATTCAGAAAAAAAACAACAACAAACATGGTAACTGTGAAAAAAATAAATCCCCTCAGGCAACACTTTGGCTGCTACCTGACAAATCAACAGATGTTTTAGTCATGTGGCTTTAAGTCTGGGGAGGGGATTTATTCAGCAGTGCATTATCAGGGATTGCACAGTGCCTGCCTTTCTATTAATTAATTAATTAGTTTGCACATAATGACAGATGTTGTCCTGATGCCCTTGGTGCTCCAGTGGCACCTGTGATAACTTGTGAAGGATTCTCGTCTTTGATATAATTTGGAGCTCCATGAGGCGTGTTTAGGGAGATAAACTGTGGGTGTACACAAATTAATCTTTGCTCTACATGGATTTCTGTCCACCTGGAAATCACCCAGTATTAATAGAAAAACAAAGGCAAGTGGCAAACCCCACCCCTTTGCTTTATCTCTGGCAGTGGGAGTGAGCCTTTTTGGATGATTATTTAGACACTGATGCAGATGGAGGCATGTTCACTGGTGTCACACATGATAGGCTTAAAAACAAAGTGAGGGGGGAAAAAGAATTGTAAAAATTGGATTTTCAGTGCAAAACAGACGCACTTAATGCTGGGAGAGAAAAAAAAAAGTAATATTTCACCTGCACACTATTACATGCCATTACTCATCGTGCTCACAGCGAAATAGGTTACCTCACCTTGTCAAGAGCAGTGTCACTTCCCAGTCAGGGAAATGATGAATTTGGTCATTATTGATGAGCTGAGTGGACACACAGGCTGTCATCCTGGTCCCTCACTCAGGACAGAATAAATTACACAGCGTTGACAGGGAGTCAAAACACAAACACGGGCTGACAGGGAGATTTCCAGGGTGAAATTTAAGGCGCAGGTGGAATAACTGAAGAGGCACGACCTCGAGGAAACACCAGCTGCAACATGGGCTGTAAACTTTTCCATCCCCCCCTCCCTGCAGAGTGGGCTTGTTCCCTGACAAAGAAAAAACAAATTTAAATTCCAATATCCCTTCAATCTGCGGCTTGGTGAAATTCATTCAATTTTGGGGGAATGATAATGAAGTTGCAGTGTGTGGTGAGACAAAGGCTTCACAGACATCAGATATTACGAATGCTGGCATGATCCACGCCTGTCCTCCCACCATGCCTCAGAGCAGATTAATCAGTCGAGATCGTTCCTTTCCTCATCTCTTTGATTCATCTGTTTCAGAACAAACCCTAATGTCTGTGATATTTCAATACCGCCGGTGATGAATACATTTGGATTCATCCAGGCCAAGCTGGCTCATGAAATGCACGTCTTCATATAAGTGGGTGGAAGTCACTTTGTATCTGCATTTGAGTCTTTTCCTCTTCATCACTTTCACCCCATCTCCCCCTGAGCTTATTTATGAACTATTACCATCATGCAGTAACACTTTATTAGGCATGTAGACAGCCAAGAGGCCTATTAATCTTTCACTTGCAGTCGTATGCTCATTCTGCCTCCGCACACGCAATCTCAAACCCCCTTTTTTTACCCAGTGGAGTCCCTCAGCCCTTTTCAATGATTCAAACAGCACCGAGGAGATGGCTAAGCTCCTGTTAGTCTTACAGTGAGGGAAGTGATGCGTCTTCCATCGGAAAGATATCAATACACACTTTCCACTGGCGGACTTTTCTCAGAGGCCACAATCATGCTGACAATCTCTCGCTCAATCACGCTCAACTGTTGCCATTACGACACATCTGAGCTGGTAATGATTTTATATTATAATGTCATCGATCCAGTTGGCTTGTAACCCCCCCCCCCGGGTGGTGCTGAGCAGATAACAGACAGTCCACTGGTCTTTGCTTTACAGCTAAATACGATAAAGAGATGTCAGTTCGATTACACTGTAAAGTCAATGATCATTTCACAAGCTATGTCAATAGTGAGGTTTATACTGTCCATGGCTGAGATATGAGCTGCAACAAAGAAATATGAACACACATATTCAGCCAAATTAGCATTGCCTGCATGCACTCAGCCAGACGTACACAGTGTGTACACAAAGACACGAGTCAAACGCGTCTCTAAACAAATAGCAAGTTATCAATATTCATCTGAAATGAGAGGGGAATTTGCGATGATTAAAGACTGCAGCACAGTGTGAGAATAAACATGGCAGACTATAGAGGCAAAGAAAAGACTTTGACAGGGCACCTAGCTGCGCCTGAACGCAATTAATTAATAATGAATAAGATGAGTACAAAAAAGAACAGCAACAACAACAAATAGCAAAAAGTAACAGCAGATAACTTGGGAAAAATCTGAGAATCAAAAAGAAGCACTGTTAGGACCTTTATGGAAAATGAAGACTATTTAATTCAAAGAGCAGCAGAGTAAAAAAAAAAAAAAACACAATTTAACAGACTTCTCAGCTTGAACAGCCAGGGTAGATGTAGCTTTGGCCAAAGATGAAGGGCGCACACTGCTTACTAGGCAGCCAATGTCTTTAACCATAGCAACAAGAATAAAAC